CCTGGATCCGCTAGTGCCTCCAAGGACAGATTTTTTTTTTCATTTGTTCCCTACATGCCATTTCTGGCATATATGGGGGAGAAGTGATTGACCTACAAGTGACCAAGCTATTCTAGCCATAGTGGGAAGGTCGAAATTTATTCTGAGGATCCGCCAAAAAATAAATTTCAACCCATCCATGCTGGATTCAAACCAGTGCACAGCCCTGTTGGACATTGGGAGAAAAAAAAATGAGCTAACATTTTGAAGTTTGATTGCATTAGTGACTAACTAATATAATTCTCCCTAATGTCTAGCAATTTTTAACGTAATTGTCGCATTAATGTCTTTATATGAGACAATAGTTGATGGAAGGAAAATCATTCTTTTTTATATTTAGACCTGTTTTGCTTAAACCTAACGGTTTGTGATAAGCCGAATCAGACACTTCTAGCAAGTCCTAAGAAAGCTGAATCATCTGTTCTTATTATCATATTTCAATACTTACTGTTTACATGAAATTATAAATCATATTATAAATATAAATTACTATGTATGTGCCTTTCCTAGCTCCAACTCCGACTCCCATTCTTCCCTCCTTTAATCCCAATCATTTCTTCTTTTCTCATATTACTCCCGATGACTTCCTTAATTCTATTCGTAAATCCGTAACCAATGATTTGGACCAGACAAAATCAGATAAATAAATTGATTAAATTACCACTTCCATTCTCCCTGTCCTTTTATCATATTTATAACTTTTTGTTGCAAAGTTCCACTTTTATCAACACATGGAAAACTGCTCTTGTTTGTCTGCTAAATAAAACCTCCAATCCTGCAACCCCTAATGATTTCCACCCAATTTCTCTATTATGATAGTAACATTTCCAAACCTCTAGAACCATTAGTTCAATCCCAATTATCCCACTATCTTTACCAAAATAACCTTCTAACTTCCACCAATCTGGTTTTACACCTGACTACTCCACCCATTCTGCCCTCATTAAAATCTCAATCTCCATACAGCTACAGACCAACAGAAGCTCACCATCCTTATTCTCCTTGACTTTTTCAAAGCCTTTGACTCAGTAGATCACAGTATACTCCTTGGCAAACTTAAAAATATCTCCTTGTCTTCTAGTGTCCTTAAATGTTCCAATCCTTCCTCACCGGTCGCTCCCAGTATGTTGTAGTCCCTAATATTCTCCCATCAGGGTCTATATCCTTGTCTATATCCAAAGGTGTTCCGCAGGGGTCCTCCTTATCTCCCACCCTTTTTCTATCTATATCAATGACCTTCCGTCCTCTACCCTGCACTATCAATACCACCTGTATGCCGATGATGTGCAAATTTACCTTTACTTCAATCTGGCTGATTCCACTGCAGCAATCTCAAAACTTCAGGAAGTCCAATCCTGTACCTCCCAATCTTCTCCTGAACAACTCAACTGTTTCGTTCCAAACTTCCGTTAAAAACCTTGGTGTTATTTTTGATCAAACCCTCTCCTGGAAACCACACATCTCCCTAATTTCCCGTCGTACTATTTCTACCCTAAAACAGTTCAACCGTCAACCCTATCTCCTTCCATACAAAAAACCCATCAACTCCTGGTTTCCTCTCTTGTTTTCTCCCACTTCGACTATGGTGGTATGGAATATAGTGGACCCTTGGGACAACTCAAAGCCAAACTTCATCGCCTAATGAATTGCACCTTTCCCAATCCGACTGATCACGAAATATACATAAGAGAACTTCTTAAGATCCCCCAGAAACCATGTTGTATACTGATGTTATTTTATTTTCCTTTGTTTAGTCTGTATATATATATATATATATATATATATAATATATATATATATATATATATATATATATTATAATATATATATATATATATGCTTTTGCTTTGTTCTTCCTATATTTTTATTTCTAATTTGATATTATTTTGTAAATATTTAATTTAATGTATGGCCACACAGGCATTTTCTCAGTATTTATACTTAATTCTAAAGAGACAACAGTCCCAGGATAATAAAAATATTATCATTTCATTTCATTATGTAAGAGACATATTGTAAAAACAAAAACTATTTTTAGAATATTCCTCTTTAAGTATCAGAACAGAACTTTTTACGAGATTTCACAATATTGCTAATATTTGAATAAATATTATATTTCACTGTTGAAAGTCAAAGAACAAGTTAGTAGGTATTATTGGTAGGCAAGTTAAACTTTTTAGTTCTAATAAATCTATCTATTCTATGATAGATAATAGCAGAGAACAGAGACATATTTAACAATTTGTTAAGCACTTCTGATCATGTCCTGTCAAGTTTACAATCTGATTTTTTTTGGACCTTGGCCTCCACAACACGTCTCCAATGCACTTTATCAACCCCGGCTTCTCTGTTGTCCAATTCCCATCTCCTAAAAATCATCCTCCACATCATCGATCCATCTCAGTCTGGGGTTTTCTCTCCTTCTTTTGCCTCCTGGTTTACCATGTAATAGTTTTTTCAGGTATCAACCTTCTCCCATCATTTCTACATGCCCAAGCCATCTTATGTGGCTTTATTTAACATACGTGGTTGTGTCTGGTTCATCTTACAGTTCTCAAATATTTCTTATTTTCCACTACAATCTGAATAGTTTGTTTAAAAGTTGAATATCTCAGGAAGTGAGGGAATTTACATAAAAGTGAATTGAAAATTAATTTTAAGAAAAAAAATATATACAAATATGTAAATTACATTAATAATTATTTTATACTGGAAGATTATAGAGCTACAGCAATGTGCAGTATATTAATTGTAGTAGACAGCCCCCTGTATTTACTCCTTTATGTGACATTGTGTGAGGGAATGAGAAGGAATATATAGGAATGTGAGGTTGCACTGTGAATTGTACTCAATTATGCAGTGGACAAATTATTCATTAAAAAGTCTCATATCGATAAACAATCGATGAAGAAGGACGCTGGAAAAAGAAGAGCAGGTAGCTAGCAACAGCTGGAGAGGCACTTGAGGTTAGGGCACCGAGGCGAGAGGAAGCTAGGCCTGGACAGGAAGAAAGGTTGTCAGAAGAGAGAGATACTACATTGAAGACAATGAAATCAAGCCTACAGTTATAAGACTTTTATACATTCATTTATTACAGTTATAAAATAAATTTTTTATTATACAGGAGTGAAAGCTCATTTATTTAGTTGTCCTATATGCCTCACAACTGAAGAATAACAAACCAGGTGAGTCAATTCATTTAAAGTGTATTTACTAAGTCCCACGTTTCAAATATGTATTCTTATTCTTCTCCTCACTCAGTGTCACAAATGTATTAGATTCCAGCAACAGTTAAACACCCTCAAAAAGTCTATATCCAGTGCCGGGGTTGTGTTTTAATATTCACGAGTGTAAATAACCTAGTTCCCCGAAAACGGAAGGCTATTCGCCCATTCCCGCCAAAAAACAATATTTACATTTAACTTTTAGCATGTTATTTACATAGTGTAAATTTAATAATTCATATTTATGATAAAAAAAAACAATATTTTATTATCTTTCAATGCATGCATCTTACCGACCAAATAGCTTGAATTAAAATTCAATACCCTCAAAAATATATATGGCTAAAATTTGTAACTATCAAATAATTTATTGAATATACCTAAAATGGTTGTCATAGAATTTTTACACAAGAAAAACAGTGAATGATTCCATTAAAATTTGAATAAAGCTAGAGAAGACTGAATTTAAGTTTTAATTTAAACTATATAATTTTTAAACTGGTAATTGATTACTGCCAATTAGAAAAAGCAAAGTATTGTATATGTTTAATTAATAAATAAAAAAATAATAATTCATCTACTGTTGATAGTTGTTAGTTATAAATACTGTATTTATAACTAACAACTATCAACAGTAGATGAATTATTATTTATTTAGTTTTTTAAAACTGTTTAAAAGCCACCAATCCAGTTCGGGAATAAATACAGTTGACTATTCCTTAATTTTTTAACCTGATAAGAGAAAAAAATAAACTAAAAAATCAAAGGGAATAATAATAACAATAAAGAAATAACAGTAACTGCAATTTTTTTTAAGGATTTACATGTTATTTGAGTTATTATATTACATATTCATGTTATTATGGTTTCCTATTAAATAACAAGATATTTTGTTTTTACTTTGTTGAAGACAATAGAGGCACAGTAACAGCTTATCTTCACAACACCAACTTATGTTGTAGAAAACAAAGAAAGTAAGAGAGATACACTAAATAGAGATATAATGTATTGTTAAAGGTTTCATAACATACTTGAATAAAGTAACTCTGCTTAAATTCCCATTTCAAAATTGAAAGTTGCGACATTAAGTAATTAAATGTTTTAACTACAATTTATTATAATGGCAGTGACAGTTTATAAGTCAATAAAAGTCAATATATGTAATAAAATTGTATAACAATATATTATCATGTGACATGAATAACTTGCAACAGGAAATTCGTATAAAAACATTACTGTTTCTAATACCGGTATCATTCACAATGAGGCTTTAAAATTTCTAAATTGTTCATCAAAACTGTGAAAAAATACATAGTATTTATTTTTTTATATTACTTTGGTAACTTAATTAGCCTTTGAGCCCAAGAAGGCTCAACTATAAACCATATAATTAATAATAAATGTGACAATATATTTAGTTTTATACTAAATTTGTGTGCATAAAGAAATAAAATAAAGACTAAAATATTTTCTTTATAAAAATACAGTACAAAACAACGTCTTTTGAGGCTCATTTTAAATACAAATAAAATCAATCACACATTTGAACACTATTTTAAACGATTTAAATATACATTAAAAAAGATTTATCAGTCATATCAAATAATTGATATTAAAATTATTTGTTCACCTAAATTAAATTTTTGTACAATTTAAATCTAAGAACATATCAAGTAAAGAAAAATATATAACATATATGATCCAATTTAAATTTGATTTTTCGAAGTAATACTGCTCATTTCATTATATTTTACAATATTATTATATTGTAAAACTTAATAACAGTCTAACAAAACAAATGGTACATATTGGAGTGACATATAAAGATTTCAAACTCAAAATTGGTAATTAGTAAAAGATAATATTTGTATAGAAAAAAACAAAACAATAATATTTCAGGGCAACTTAATCAAAAGGCTCACATTTAACCCACACATACTTAATTTGTTTATCAACACAAATTTAAAAATAAAATGACCAGCATACTGTTAAGAATAAATAAATAATTCTTACTTGAACACTTATGTCATCACTTCATTAATTACATAATATATAAATAATTTATCTAACATAAGGGTGGCTAAAATATACATGCACATGTCATTCTAGAACATGTATTTCTATGTTATCATTACTGATATATATATATTACAATTATACAACAATGTTCATGAATATTTAGCAATAAATTCCTCATTGTGAAAATCAAGTCATAAAACAAATTTACAACGTAACAATTGCATTTGGTATCTTAAAATTATTCAGGTATTATCTGTCCAATATGAGCTAATTTTTCTCTTAATACTCTGAAAGATGGCCTTTCTTCTGGAGCATGGGTCCAGCATTGTTTCATGACCTGGAACAAAAATAAAATCGCACTATTAATAACTTTCAAAATAATTTATAAATTATATATATATATATTAGTTGGGAGGGCGACCAGGTTAAGAAGCTAGCAATATATAATCGTAGTTAAGCAATGTTATGTCAGTCCAAAGGAGGCATCCACATGCCAGAAAATGTGTCCTGTCAACCTACTGGAGGCAACTCAAAACAAGAAAAAAAATTTCTCTGAAGGTATGTCCGCAAATGCTTTGTTTAGGAGATATTCACACCTAAAGATTTTTGTTCTAAATACTTTATTAATTAAATGTAAACATTAATGTTAATTATGTAAATTAAATGTTAATTATCCCAATCAATGGATTAGCAGTGTAGGGCCAGTGGCTTGGCCTGCACGCTCTTCAGATCTGACACCACTAGATTTTTTTGTTTGGGGTGACATTAAACAAAAAATCTATGCAAGTCCAGTCAATGACCTTAATTCCTTATGAAGAAGGATAATTGAATCTTGTGAAATAATAACACATATCCAGTGCCATTCTGCCACTGCTGCTGTTGAAGAAAGATGGCGAGCCTCTCTTAATGCTCAAGGAAATCACTTTGAACAAATAAATAAGTTTTATTTACTTAATATAACATAAGTTATTCATAACAATAAAAATTTTTAGTTGTGAATATCTCCTAAACAAAGCGTTTGCGGACATACCTTCAGAGGAAATATTTTTCTTGTTTTGAGGTCCTTAGTCCATTTTTGCAGTTTGGCCACTTAATCCTGAAACACTCTGTATAATAACCTACAAATTCCGTCTAATCAAAAGGAAAAAGAAATAATTGTTTTTTAATTATGAAAAACTAGGGGGTACCCCCTGTCTACCTTACAGCGGACCAGCCCCCATTTTACAAATTATACAACTGTTCATTTCATTGTACTGATCATTACTCATATTGCTTAACTGTAATTTACATGTATTCTGTAATTCACACACACACAGACACACACACACATATATATATATATATATATATATATATATATATATATATATATATATATATATATATATATATATATAAATATATATAGTATAGTGTGAGCAGGAAATTAAATAAATTTCATGTCTTTATCCTAACATTTTAATTTGATAAGATTGAAAAATAAAATATTACAGTCCCAACAACTTTTTTTACATAATAGAGAGAATCACACTTTATTGTGTTGTACAGAAAATAATGCAGGATTTTGATTTAAAAGGCAAAAAGAAAGATTTATAGCTGTTTTATTTAATCAAAATAGTCTCCACTACTATCAATACATTTCTCCCAACATGTTGGCGACTTTGCCTTTCCCTCGAAATAGAATTTCCCATGTTTAGAATTGATAAACTCCAAAAATTCATTTTCTAATTTTCTCTGTTCTACTGCTTCTCCTTAGTTGAGCCACTATCCAGAACGTCTAATGTTAACGTAAAGTATCAACTTTTCATCACAAGTAACAATTCTTGATAGAAAAGGGTAATTTTTGTTTCGCCAAAGAAGTGTAGCACAAACTTCACAACGCTGGTTTTTTTGGCAGTCGTTTAATGTGTGGAACCCAACTTTCAAGCTTTTTTACTTTTCTAATCGCCTTGAGGTGGTAATTGACAGTCGATTTTTTAAGGTTAAGATTCCCTGCAAGTTCTCGAACAGTTGTTCCAGGGTTTTATTCCACCAAAGCACGCAGAACATTGTAATCAAGAGAAGAAGTCCTTTAATGGCATTCTTAGTCTTCAAGGCTTAAGTTTCCCTCCCGAAATGTTTTGAAGCGTTGAACAGTGCACTCTCATCCTAGACTTTATTGATATTTCTGGCCATCTGGGCCCCATTCTGGCTGAGTTTAAACTCGAAAAACAAAATTACATGAAAATCCCGCGTTGACATCTTAGCAAAGAATAAATTATTGCAGTGAAATGCTACAGAGGTAAACAAACATTATCATTTAGAAGAGGATTAATAAGTGTTGACAATCAAAAAAAGGAATAATCAAGTAAATGTACAAAGTTTGTTATATAGAGGCGTACTTTAAAGTCAATAACTCAAAACTATCAATTAAACTATCCTGCATTATTCAATTAAAACTATCCGGCATTATTTTCCAGTCAACCCAATAATTTATAACCCAATAAGACAGTCACTAGAAACTTTCTTATATAATTAAGTGATAATTTTATTGCTACTAAGACCCACTGAAATGAAAGCTGAGAAATGTGTCTAATATTTGTATGCAGAATCATAATAAAAACATTTAAATTGGTGACCCACTGAAAGTAACCTCCCCTAGTGAGTTGTTTTTGTAATCACATATTAATGACAAAAAGTTTTTATAATTGACTAAACTTGCTTAAGCAGCTTGGCCAAATACAGAAAGTACTAGGTACGATTTCTCTTGAAAAGTATTCAAATCATGAGAAGTAATAGAGCACTGCCTATCTCTATGTGAATCTAAAATGTTTGGAGAAGTATCCTATAATCAAAAAAAGTTTCTACGATGAAGAGGTGATGGAGATCAATATTATATTATATTTTTCATTATTTACACCTTCATATTAGGTTTATCATTAACATTTTCATATTATTTCATAATTTATTTTTAATTTCCTTATATAATCATTACACTGTTTCTTTTTTTTACTCGATTTTATTTCACTTTTTACTTGCCTCTGATGAAGGCCTAAAACTTGGTAAGAAAATATTGATATTTAAATATTGAAATGTAATAGCTAATAAGTAAATCAAAGAATCGCAGACATTTTTTTATCAAACAAGCAAATAAAGAAATCAATGAAAAATAACTTATAATAAAGCATGTATATTACATGATACACTTCAGAAGGAGCAGCTTTAGGCCTTTCTAATAAAATTCCTCTCTGCACTCTTTCTACTACTTCAGTATTTTTGAGTTTTCCATAAGGCATTTTTCCACAAGTAAAAATCTCCCACATCAAAACACCTAAAAAATATTCAAACATTAATTCTTATGTTTTACATTGGTGTTTAATACATATATATATATATATATATATATATATATATATATATATATATATATATATATATATATACTTATTTTATGACTATAATAGAAATTCAGCATGTTACCTATTCGAATTAAAAATCTTTTTGTGGGAAAACAATTTTTTTAGTAAGATAAATATTTATTCTCTTATATTCCAAATCTTAAACCAATTTTATTACCATTATTTTAGTGCTAACATCACAATTTCTCATTCATTAATTAGTGTTGAGACTTTAAATAATGGAAGGTGGTGTATCAACATACCATGATCAGATTAGGTATTATTTATTTAATGCTAAATTTAAGGCATCATTTAACAAAAAAAAATATTTTAAAAACTTAATTGAAGGCAATGGTTTAAACACACTTAAAAGATGTTTAAACCAATTATTTCACTAAATAAAATAATAATATGCCTAATTAAATTAAAGAAAATATCAGATAAAATAGGATACAAAACTAATAGGACTGATGACAGGAAAAATAAATTAATTGATATTTTTTCTAAAAAAAATTATGAGAAACAAAATTAATTTCTAATAAATGAACTAGCCTGATAGATATGTCCAAATACTATAAAAATTAGTTATAAAAATAAAATTTTACATATATATCTATATATATATACCATATGCCCAGACATCAGATTTTGAAGAAAATCTTGTATAATTTAGAACTTCAGGTGGTGCCCATTTCAATGGAAATTTTGTACCACCAGAACTGGTATATTGGTCATCAAGAACATACCTGAAAATTGAAATTATATTATTGTAAAGCTATTATACCCTACTATCATATTTATATTAGTTGCGGATATTAACATAATTGAACAGTTTATATAAAATAAACTGAATCTTCATTAAACTCATGACTGGTCACCATCAAATGACAGATTATTAGAATTTTTATGGTTGCAAAACAAAATTACTGTAGGAGTTTGGATATCTTTTCCATCATATCTGATATACGGCGATGCTTAAGAGACATCGAACAAACCATTTTTTAAATAAAAATGATGAATATTTCAGTATCAAATTCTTCTTAAATGTAAACTGATTTATCCTTGCAAACATTGTAAATGTGGTATATACCTAAATTAGCATTATTTTTTAATTAAAAACAAGCCAAGATACTAATCTATTGTGTTGACTTTTTTAAATCTAAATAATGCTATCTTATTGTTTAAAATTAATTACTTTGTTGGTTATCCACTTCAGTCTTTAATCTTTATTGTTAATGTCAAGAGCTGTTGTATAAAATCTAAAAGCCGAGTGTTTTAGTGAAAATTGTTCTAATATCGGAACTCTTCGCTTTTTTTTTTGGTTATTTACTTTAACATATCAGAATTCATATATGGCTTTTTTAATTTCATATTCCATCCTATTAAATATATATTACATCTACAATGTTAGAAAAGTTTTAAATTGAAATATTTATCATTTTATAAAAATTTGGTTGGTTCGAGAACTTTTTTACACCACTTTATAAGATAAAAAAAAAAAAAATATTGGTCATTCGTTTCTATATGTCTAGTTCAGCACAACGTCGCATAGAAAATTCTCGTAATTGCTGAATGTAAGAGTCAATTAATCATAACAATATATTGGCCTGATGACTTCATTTTATTGAAATTAGTACAGTTAGACCATTTTTAAAAATTTATTTATATTATTTTTTTTTTATCCTTCTGTCTCCAAAATTCTAGCAAATACCGATATTCTAAACACCGATATATAGGCTTTACAACCTAATTTTATCATGATTCATAGAGTTTTACACGGAATAAATATTATTTCTTTTCCTAATATATTTGTCACTCAGTTTCCAAGTTATTGACATAAACATAAATTTGGGTGAAGAGAGATAAATCGGCCTCAGATCTTGTTCTTTTTTTTTTTTTTTTTTTTTTCTCAGGGTCCATCCCTTCCTCGACTTTTAGACTATAAGGAGTTTCCTTGGGCCAGAGGGAAAGGCGAGGCGTTGAAGCCAGATTTAATTTTCTCCCTATGGCACAAGGATGCGAACTCGTAACTATTTGTATAAAATTATCTCATAAATCAGGTAGCTGGGCATCGGCGGTGCTGAGCTTACGCATTAGCCTCAAGACTTTATTTAAAAAGATAAAAAAATTATCAAACTCTACCAACCTCGATTTTTTTTTTCTTCGATATAAACATAAATGTGAGTACAGACCGATATATTATTCTATATGTACTCAAGGTCTTTACTCATATTTATGTTTATGTTCATCCCTTGAAAATTGATTGACGAATTTATTAGCAATAAAAAATAATATTCAAGGTGAAATTCTTAGAATCTCGATTAAATAAGGTCTTAGGCGGACATATTGGTATTTACTCAAATTCACGCTTATGCAGACGCCTTGAAAACTGATTTCCGCATTTATTAGCAATATAGAAATAGAAATAGAAAAATCATCTTTATTCTGGGACTAGGTCCCTTTAGAATAACAGTATTGTTCATATATATTAACTACAAATCTGGTCAAAAGACTTATTACAATGAATAATGACAAAATACATGTAATACATTAAGTATTAATTAGGCTCTTAGGATAAATTAACGAGGACAGTTGGGTAATAGGGGTTCAGTACTACAATATTGGAGCTAAAATAATTGCATAATAATCACTGAATGAAATTAGAAAGGAAAGTAAAATCTATTTTATAGGTAAAGCATTGTAGTGATGGAATATAAAAATTAAAAAAAATAATAATAACTGCTAATATGTAGGGAAAGAAATTGTAAAAACTAAAACAAAAAAATATATAAAAAAACAAATAATGATATACATATGTTCCCTAAGATATTTAAGTGATTATGCGTAAAGATCAGGAGAAGAGAAAATAAAATAAAGTATATATATACACATAGCGAGAAGTATGTTGAAGATAATTAGAAATAAAATACATTTCACTGAAATACATTCCATGAATAACAAATTAGAACTTAAGGAAAACAAATTTTATCTACTCACAATGCTTAGTGAGTGGTGATGAAAATTCACGTTCAACACAGAATAAAACAATAAAAAATAAGAGAAAAAAAATAATGTCTAAAGAAAATTAAATCCTTATAACATAGCATGTATTTAACCAGCGTCTGATTGGATTGTGAAGAGGAATTGGAATAAGAGGGTTTTAAAGGTGGATAAGGATGATGCATGGCGGATTTTTAGTGGGATGGAATTCCAGAATGCAGTGGAACGGACAACGAAGGAATGTTTAAATGATGCAGATCTGTGGAAAGGAGTGTAAAGGTCAGAAGGACGAGATCTTGTGGAGAGGGTGTGGATAGATGATTTGAATTGTAGGAGATTGTATGCGTAGGACGGACAATGACTATTGATTATTTGGTAAAGGAATGTGCCTAGGAAATATTGTCTTCGGAAGGAAGGGAAGAGCCATCCTAATTCAGCATAGTGGTGCGAAACACGGGAATACCTCAGGGCCCCTGTGACAAATCTTACGAAGGCATTCATAATTCTTTTCAGTCTCTCCCCGAGTTCTGCCGAGAGGCCACCGTACACCACGCAGCCGTAATCAAGGTGGGGGAAGATGAGGGAAGTTACTAGGAGCCTACGTGTGGAGATGGGTAGGAGATGGCGGAAGCGATGGAATAGTTTCAAGGTACCAATTGACTGTTGGGTAATGTGAGCAATATGGTGTTTCCAGGATAGGGTTTGGTTTATGAAAATGCCTAGGTTTTTTACTGCATATATATATAATATTCAAAGTAAAATTCTCAGAATCTTAGATAAAATGTCATAAGGCCGATATATTGGTATTTGGAATATCGATATTAACCCAAATTAGGGGAAGGAGAGGGCAAGAAAAAAAAACTTAAATATAAACTTTTCAAACTCTACCAACCTCAAAAAAATAAGGTTATAAGGCCGATATTTCGATCTTTGCTTATATTTATGTTTGTGTTGACCCCTTGATGATTGATTGATGCATTTATTAGTAATAAAAATAATATTCTAAGAGAAATTCGTAGAATCTTTGATAAAATGTAGAAAAATGAAATGTAGAATCTTAGATAAAATGTCATAAGGGCGATATATTGGTCTTTGGAATATCGATATTTGTCCAAATTAGGGGAAGGGCAAGAAAAAAAAATTAAATATAAATTTGTCAAACTTTACCAATCTCGACTAAATAAGATCACCGATGTATCGGTCTTTACTCAAAATTATGATTATATAGACCCGTTGACGATTGATTTGCGTACTTATTAGCAATAGAAATAATATTTAAAGTGGAATTCTTACAATCTCGGTTAATTAAGGTCATAATGTTGATATATCGGTTCAAGAGGGTGACAGAAAAATTTTGACAAAAGAAAATAAATAAATTTAAAAAAATAAATCAAACTTTACTAATTTTGATAAAATAAGGTTGTGAGGTCAATATATTGGTCATAGGAATATCGGAATCAGGGTAAGAGTTGGATTAGAAAAAAAAAATTAAATAAATTTGTTTCAGTGTGTACCAATCTCAATAAAATAAGGCCATAAGGCCTTTATATGTCGTTTTTTCTTAAATCTATGTCAATGTTGATCTGTTTACGAATGATTGACATATTTATTAGCTATAAAAATAAAATTCAATGTGAAAGAGGCCGATATATCGGTAAAGTAAGTCTTTGGAATGTCTGCTCAACTTAGGAGGAGTAGGACCAAAGAAAAACATAAAATAAATAAACAAAATGATCAAATTCTAATAATCTTGATTAAATAAGGCCATGAGGCTGATATATTGGTCTTTAGAATATCGGTACCAACTGAAAATCAGGGGAGAGGATAAGAAAAAAAAAAGGCCGATATATCGGTATATCGGCGTTCGATATCGGCCGATGCCGATAATTGGCCAGACGGCCGATATTAATATCGGTATCGTTCGATCTCTAATTTTAACCAAAGCCGTTTGGGTTGGCTATGCCTGCTCTAAAACTCCACTGGTTTCAAGGTCGTACTGCCCCAGCAGTATAACATAGTCAACTTCTAAAGAGGGATAGACAGCTATAATGTTCCAGCAATACAACATCGTTAAAGGGTTAAATAATAGGTAAATTTAAGATATTACACCTTCTTAACATGCCTTGAGTAGTTCACTAAGAATACTATTGATTATGCCTACTACAAATAATTTTAATTTTAGGATTCCTATTCAGACGTTTTCTTCCACTGCTTTATCTGTACATGGTTATATGAAAAGAGAGACCCAGCTGTAACTTAAAGTATTAAAATAATATAAAAATGTTCTTTGAGTATATTCAATATAGTGCAAATGTGTTAATTTTTGATCTATCAGTTTCTACATCATTTACATATTTTTGGATATTATTTATTGAATCAAAGTTTGTTCTTATTTTTCCATTTATTAGGATAGTATTATTGAGCTCTTCAATATTATCTCTGAGATTTCCTCAAAATTAGTCTAGGTTTGCTTATTTATGAGAAAATTATGAATATATCAGGGGGTTAATCCTAAAGGATCATTAAGCAAAAAAATTACAAATTCACTTAAACTATACCAAGTAGTATACAATTTTTAAACATTATATTCATTACTTTAAGACAGAACAAGAACATTTGTTCAAAGTAGTTTTGAGAAATATATTATTTTGTAGCTTTAGTTAAAAAAAAAAAGTTAGCAGGAAAGCAATTTCATTTTGATTTTATAAAATCTTAGATCAATATGTTATTAGACTCAATACTAATTAATAAAAAGAAATAAATAAAATAAATCCAGAAAGAAGTCAAAAGTCCTTTCCTTAAAGCAGGTATTGTGCGTTAGCATACATCTATGAATTCAAAGTGCGTTAGTAAAACATTAACAAGTAACAAAATAAATAAATAAATAACTGAAATTCACTTACCTAGCTAAACCAAAATCAGCAACTTTAACAACATTTTCAGATCCAACAAGACAATTTCTAGCAGCTAAATCTCTATGAATATAATTATGTCTTTCTAAATAAGCCATTCCATTACACACCTAAAAAAAAAAATTGGTAAATGGAATAAGTCCTGTTAGAAGAAACCATTTTGAATTTTGACCAATAATTTCTTTGTAATCACAAGCTAGTAACTCATTTTTAAAATATAGATAAATATTTTATGAGATCTGATATATAAAAAAAGATACACATTAAAAAATTTAACATTGATGATCACAAAATAATTAATCTTCTTTAAATTTCTTTAATGTATAAACATCAATATTTTAATCCTCATGGTATTATTTCAAATTTCCAGACTATACCATATATTTGCAATAAACATTTAACACTATACTATAATACTGTCTAGAACTTTTTATACTTTTAAGCATAATGACATATAGTTAAATATAGAAAAATAAAATTATTTGTAATTAATTAATTTGTAATAACAGGATTATTATTTTTAAAAAAGTAAGGAATTATTTATAAATGGATTATTTATATATATAAAAAAACAATTTTTGTGAGAGTGAAAACAGGTTCTGACGGCCAAGTGTTTCATTGAGTGTACAGAGCTGTAAACGACTGATGATCATCAATGTCCAGATTTATGTGCCACAAAAACCATTGAAATATGCCTTCAAAAGTACAATAATATGCATCATATACATTAGCGAGTAATGGCCTACTGAATCATCCTATGCCAGGAGTCCATGGTCTTGTGCAACTACTTTCCAGTTCCAAGAAGGGGTCTTGCATCATAGGTCACACTATCCTGCTATGTAAGCCTTGGCTGTATGCTTCTCGTTGCATGGAGCATCTAATTAAGAATCTTCTTTGGGATTACTGAATCATCCATCCTGGCCATATGAAAGGCCCACCATACAACTTTTCAAGACTGATGACTCTCTGACCACATCTGACTCACTTGCCAGGTTGTAAAATTTCTGATTAGTACTTCACCACTCCTTCTCGACTTAAATCCATCCATAGATGAAATGCAGGGAGTGCCTTTTGAATATTTGCAAAGAAAGCATATCAGCCTTTGTCATCATCAAGGTTTCAAACCCATATGTAAGGTCAGAGTGTATTAATACCTTATAGAGGAACAGTTTTGTGGTCCTAGTGATGAGGTTCTCACCTAAGCCTTTAGACCAAAAAAACATCTGTTAACAGCAGTGATCTTGCTCTTTACTTCAGCTGTAATATCATTGTCAGAGTTCACCCATGTCCCCAAGTATATGTAGTTAAATCATAGCCTGGCATGGATTTTCCGAGAAGTAATCCTGTATTAAGATCCAAAATAAAGTGGTTTTCAGAAATTTGAAGATTACATTCATTATTAGGCAATTTAAAACTAACCAATTTTACTATATTTAGTATGAGAGATGATTTTATCATTTGAAATGTAGTTGGTAAAAGGCAGACATAATTAAAATCTTGTCAAACATTAATTAAATTACATTTTAATTTAATTATAATCAATATAGAAAATCCTGTCAGGTATTAATTAAATTACATGTTAATTTAATTAATATTCAACAGGATTTTCTATATTAATTATAATTTAATTCAAATATTGATAAAATTAAAAATAATTTAATTAATTAAACAACTTTACACATGTAAAATAAATTCAATTAATCAAAGTATGCATGAATTTTGAGCCTAAATATGCACAAAAATCAAATTTTGCCCAAATAGGCATCATAAAACTTTGCTAAATGATTTAGAATTACTTGTTTATAAAGATATCGATTCAGGTTTATAAAATAAATATGGATCTGGATATAAATTAAGGCCTTTGTGATCATGAATACACTGGGCTTTTTAGGATCTCATGAATCACAATGAGATAGTACCCATAAACTAATACTATCTAAGCTGGATGAAGTCACTTTAGCTTGTTTTACCAAATTGAAATAGAGAACTGCCTGGAGACCTAATACAAATCTTAATGAATAATTGATTAATCACTTCAATTCTAATTTGAGATCAACACACAATTTTACTAAGATGAGATCAGTAATCCAATGATGAGGATCTTAGAATATCAGATATATGATATCCACAGAAATAAAGAGAAAAAAAATAGGCAGGATTCAACAGGACGAGTAAATAATAAATTAATAAAAATTCATTGATACATTTGTAATCAACAGAACCTACTGAACTGGCATAGTAACATTATTAGAGTTTTTAATGAGATAATGTATAGACAAATTATGGAATGTAGAAATAGGAGTTAAGTTTAATTCACATTTTTAACACATATCACATTACCTGAATACACATATCCAATAAAAGACCAATATTTCCAGCTAATGTATTTTCATGTCGCCTAAGGTAATTTAATAATGATCCATGCTTCATGTATTCAGTGACTATGTAGATAGGTCTATGCTTACTGCAAACACCATACAGCTGCACCAAATTACTGTGCTGCAGTTTTCTATAAATGGCATATAGTTACATAAATATAATTATTTAAATATAATCAACACAATCACATGATTGTATTACATTATTTAAAAGTAAAATATTAACTCCTTCAACTTTATCATCTAAGAATTCATTTAGGAAAAAAAAAAGTAATAATCTATTGTAATTCACTGCATTCTTAAATTGTAATAAAAGATATATTGAGAGAACTGAAAATTTAATCACTAAACATACCTCAAAATCAAATGTTTCCTACTAAGGCTTTACATTATAAAATAATCAATCACAATAGCTATTATGGTAATAAGTAACACCCTCTTGAGAGATACAAAAAAAATATTTTTAAAATAAATACTATACTAAAGTACTTTTATATTTAGTCATCAACCCTTCAACAATAACAAATTAATATTATCTCTCATCTACTAGATGTTTAAATATGAAATTGGAATTTTTGAACAGAAAATACATGTTTATTGAATACAAATTTTCAAAAATACTTTTTTCGAAAACAAAATTCGGAATATTATCTAGCTATACATTTTTGAGTTTACAGATTTTTACAATTTTCTCCAAAACAGCTCAAATGATTTTGATTAAACTCATTATATCAATATAAAATCAAGTGGTCTTAAATATCAGATAGATATTATAAACTATTTATTAAAATAGTTTGGAAGGGCTTGAATGTAGAAGTTTTAAAATGTCTTCCTCTAAAGTAACTTTAATTTTGTTTATTTAAAAAATTTAACTATTAAGTAAAGAAGAAATAAGAGTTAGTAGACGGGAATTGGAACCTACAGATAAAACCGAGAATACCTGACTTTGTTGAGCATCGACTATTATATACCTGTCATAAGTATATGAATATAGTAATATATACTAATATTAATCCTTTTTTCAACGAGTTTCATGGTTGACATTTCTGATACTCAGATTTTTTCCAAAAGACCTACTATCCCTCACAATCATTAATATTATGAGGTATTGTACATTAAAAGTAAAACAAACATAAATTTAACAGGTTTGATGGATGGGAAAAATATAATAATTAATTTTGTTTAATGAATATGTTTACCATCTATAAGTTTTACTTTCACATCTCTATTTATGAAAATACCTATTTCTAATCCAAGTAAGGTGGTAAGTGAAAGTTGTGTGAGATGCACACCCCACCAGATTTTTTTAATTTATATTAATTAGTGATCAATTTGTTTTTCCCTAAATTAAAAAATATATATTTTAAGACAGGATTTATAAGATTATACTAAATTCTAATTTTTGTAGAATAGGTAAGGTAACAGGAAAGGGAGATAGGTGCGGTAGTCTCCCATGCTATGTGGAATGATCAAGCTTTAATGTCCTATTCACTGCTTGAGACTCCCCAATATTTTCTATCCCTATCACATCTACTATTACCTCCAAGTGGTGCCTATATAAGGTTAGTGTCCACACCTTAGAATGGCCAGCACTCCACCCTGACTTCAATTCTATTAAGCATTTTTGGGACCAGCAAGGGACACCCATCGACAACAGAACCCTCCATGTGAACTCCAAGTACATGAATGGATCAGATTAAAAATCGGGCAGCCAACCTAATTCGCAATGTGTCTATGAAAGTACAGGCCATTATTCAAGCAAGGGGAGGCAACAATAGGTAGTAAAAACTCTGATTTCATATTTAAAAAAGAATTGGATACGTTTTATTTTTGTTTAAAACAGTGCCCATTTGCTTTTAGCCCTAGAGCCAGGACCCGAAATTCGACCTTATTGCAGGCGAAGGTTTGATTGTAAATTACGAAAGTGTATTTTATTCTGAGTAAAAAGAACCTCGCCTGCCGTTTCTAAATTCTAATCTAACTTCTAAACAGCAGTTCCAGAGCTGCTGCTTACAAAAATGGCAGCTGGTTTAAAGAATATTAGACCAGTAATTTGAGGATTGAAACAGAAAATCCATTGCAAAAAATGTTGAAAAAGTTTTTTTTTTTTAATATATATATATATATATATATATATATATATATATATATATATATATATATATATAATGGGTTTAGACATGTAAAAAACAAATTTGCTAAGGCGGGCCACTAAGGAATAACTTTTTACAGCCAAAACAAGTCAGATTTTTTCGACATTTTTTGTAACTCCTAAACAATGTATCAAAGCAAAACATGTATTATTTAATAAATTAAAGAACGTTAAATTGTGCATCGAACAAGTACATAAACTTTATAATTTGGTTATGTGGTAAGGTATAAAACTGCGGTCAACCAATGCTGATTTTTACCAAATTTGTCAAAAAATGAGACAAATTACTATAAATGGCCCTGTAACTTGGAATTGAGTTCCCTAAGAGGAAAAACCCATAGAATCAAAGTTCAAATTTAGCGTCCACTGAGTACTGATATTTTTATTGTAAGCCAATTATTTATCTCAAATCGGGATTCGTTATTCCTTTATGAAATTCGGTATCTTACGTCACATCATTCATCAAAATCTTTTGATGCTGAGAGGTGGAAAAAGAGGCTTATACAGCATGTAACAAACTTTAAACAAAAATAACTCAGTAGAATAGACACCCATACTGTTGCAATATTGAAAATAACGTTTACCTGCATTACCAATTTCTAACCATCAGGAGTTTAAGAATTTTTTTTCCGAGTAAGTGACCTAAATTAAATAAGTTGGTACTCACTGGACGCAAAATTTGATGATATACAACTTTGATTATGTTTTTTTTTGTTGATAAATATGGTAAAATTCAGCATTGGTTGAGCACAGTTCTATAAATTACCAAATTTCATATATATGTAAGTTCAAAAAATAAAAACTTTTTTAGCATTGCAAGGTAAAAAATATTGCAATATTTTTTCTGTTGGGAAAGATATAATGACGAAATTTAAGGTATTCCGGTTTTTATGACCACCAGTGTGTGTTTATATATATAGATATTTACTTGATTGAAACCAAATGAAAATCAAACTGTCTTATTTTAACAAAAATGATTTATAAAAGACACAAAATTAATTAAATAAAATCCAAATTATATGTGGCTACAATAAGATAGCAATATTTTGTAAAAGATAAATAATGCACTCACACACACCCACACACACAAATGTATGTTAATAAATGTTTTTTTTTTCTTTTTACATCACAGCTAGATATTTCATTAATTAACTATTATTAAGAGGTGCTAAATATTCAGAAAACATAAGAAATTGTTAATTATGAACAATAGGAAAACAAAAACTATCAAAGTTAAGTTTAATACTTAAAGATATTCAAATATCATGTGATATTTAGTATTAAACTTTGATACGAAAAAAAAAAAAAAAAAAATGGAATATATGGAACATTCAGACAAACTAGGAAAACACACAAAACAAAAACAAATCCAATTAACAAAGAAGTATAAAGAACAGTCTTATCACGTTGAGATAGTTCTGTAACTTCTCTTGCCCATACCTGCACAAAAATCACCAACGATGAAACCAGTTAACCATAAAATTTATTAATTTAGTTTCAGAGGTTAACTGCCTCTTACGGGATCAATTAGGCTTCCAACACAACTTCCTATGACATTACATTGTCAACATGCTAGCAGCAAAAATGCCTACAAAATATAAAATATACTTGAAAACAAATTTTTTTTTTCTTTTTAAGTCCCTTTAAAGTTATTCATTTTATTCAAGGTATGGTGTACTGCATGAGATGAATTTCAACATATGTTTTTAAAGAGGGGAGTTATATTTTTTTAAAGAACAAATTAAAAAAAAAAAGAAATAAAATAAAAAGGATTGAACTACAGAAGCATTGTGGAATTGACACGGCTAAATATTGGGCATACCCTTAACTACAGTTCAACTGATACAGTAAATAGACAATCAAAAGATCACCAACTCATTAACAGTCAAAATTTAGCAAAGGGGAGCAACAAAGGTAGTGCATACATCATAACAACACTTACAATCATGAAAAAATTTTTCCCCCAAAACTTTTTCAGTCAGCCAGAAAATTTAGAAGTAGTAAGTTCTCATTTCAGCAAAGATTGCATCTTCAGTTCTTATAAGTTCTTCCATGCCAAATTTTGATAAAAATTTCATGGTCATCCACATTTCTGAATAATGAACACAAACTCTAATACTTTCTATTTAAGTTAGTGAGACCCATGAACAAATAGGTAGACTCACATACCTTTCAGTATCCAAGTGTGGAGTAAGTGAACATGTTATAGTGTTGTCAGAACACTCTTCTAGCAGAATCCTTAAGAACTAGATATGTTTCATTTATAAATCATCAACGTAACAAAGAAGTAGTTAGCGATCCTATAATGCTCAATTCCTACAATCCTGCCTAAATTCAAATTCTATATCAAAATCATAGGTAAACATGCAAAAGAGCAAAAAGGGATTAAAAAAAAGTATAAACATGATATATTTTTATTTAATTAAAAATGATTTAGAGCACTCTCCATAGACAGTGAAAGATTTTAAAACATAGTTATTTATTCAGAATTTCTCAGTATATCTAAAATTATATTAACTTACGTCATCACTTTTGCTTCTTCGATAAATTCATCTTCGGACATTGTACCTTCCTTCATCATTTTAACAGCTGTATCAATGCAGCCACGCCACTTTCCCCGACGTACAACTCCAAACTGGCCAGAACCAAGTTCTTCCAATAGCATTAATTCATTAGGATCTATTTCCCATTTATCTGTAAATACAAATTCAGCTTAGTTATTTATTAACAATTACAAATAATAGGATGCAGGCATAATTTATTTACATAAATATGAACTTCAACAAAACCAGAACAAATTTAAAATAGATAGGTTTAAAAAATAATCAACCAACACCAAACATTATAAATAAAATGTCTGTTTATAATTAGCAGTAAAAATAAATGAGGAAATCAAAGTGGATTAACATGAGTGTTACATAAATCTTTCGTTCATTTTACGTTTAAAAAAATTATTTACATTTATCTGTAATCAAAATATTTTAAATAAAATCACAGGGTTACATTTTCACTTATTAATTGACTATAGGTAAAAATTACAGCATTTCAGAAAATAATTGTGTAACAAATTTTAAACTGGAATAAAAAAACTCTGAATATTATTGTTAATCACTTAATATTCTTATAACAGCCCAGGAGGACGGAATGGCCGAGCACGTTTGGGCGTGGGTCCCAGAATGACCGGTTCTGAACGTTGTGGGTTCGATTCCAACCTGGGTCGGTTACTTTTCATTTCTCGGCGGTCCCAGAAAATGGATTGTGACATTCCCACTCTGGCAAGTACGCGGCGGCAACCTTGAAGGTAGCCGTCAGGGGTTGGCAAAAAGACCACTATAAAGAAAAAAGACCCACTTGCTGGACTAGTTCTCCCCACCTAGTACCAGTAAAAGTACCAATATAACAGCCCAATTGAAACATCTTGATTTGACCTGATCAACATTTATTTGAGATGATAAATAATCAGGATTTTCTGTTATATTGTTTTAAAAAGGGTACTGAAGTTTCGACCCAAGCTCGTGGGTCATCATTATGGCCCGCATATGGAGATCTAAATTTTTAAAATTTTAGAAATTCAAATTTCTATCTCTTAGAGACAATCTGATGCCATTGATGAGCTCAACATTGAGTTTAGGAACTTGTCCAGACAGAATTTAACCTGAATACCAGACAGAATGTAAACTGAATACCAAGATAAAAAGTGGATCCATCGGACCCAAATGCTGATATACCGCTGACCCATCGGTGGTTCAATAGATAAGGTTAAAAACTTTCCCAAATATTTATGTTTGTGGGAAATACTATTTACTACAATTCTGGAAAATATCTGAGAATTCAGCCAAATTCTATTAAATATTAATTATTTCTGTAGTCAACTGTAGCATTTTTAATGTCCCTATCACAACACAAAACAAAAAATATCCCGTACCACATTGTCAGAGATTTAGCAATGAGAAGGAATTCTTTGCAATTTATTTCAGAATGCAAACAAAGATGATTGCCTACGTTATGTATTCTTGTAGGAAGTAAAGCATTAAATTAGGAAGTCAAATCAAATGAAACAATAAGTATAAAAAGCAAATCTTTCTATGAATCAAAGTATGAAATTGATAACTTCCTTAGACTCAAAATACAGGTGTTCCACTTTCTTGGATTTTACTTCCTAATGTTTTCTAGACAAATACCCGACAGTTTACGAAGGTTTTACTCATTTTTTTTTTCTCATTTAATCGATATAATTAGATGCTTAGTTTAGTGTAAAACTAAGCTTACAATAATTTGTGAATATCTAACTCTGAATGAAGACACAGGAATAGATCTCTTTTGTGTGAAATTGCAAAGAAGATCTATTTTAGTGCAAAATAGATCCTATGGGATTTTGTATTTTAAATATACAACTCAAGATAGGTATAAATTTGTTGAGAACACTGTTTTTACTTAAACAGAAAAAAAAGAAGGATAAATTCTTAAATTTATAAGAATTAATCTGAGCCCTAGTCATCATTAGTGCTTATATTAAATCAGAAATTTACGAGTTAAGATATCTATGTAGTACAAAACCATGATTTAATTAAATTTTTTTCTTGTTTAGTTTTAGCACTGATGGTTACAAAAAAGAGTGGGTCGTTGGCACCCTTAATAAAAAATATGACTGAAAACTCTAATTATTTATCATCCAATGTAACCTTCAAAACAATTAACTATAATTAATTTTTTAAATAATATTTGAGAAATAAATTGTTCAATGACATGAAAAAATTATGTTTAAATGATTTATTACTTTCACTTATGTATATATGAAATGTATAGTAGAGGAAAGTATTGTGATCGTGAAAATTTTCGAATATCAGTTTTCAACGGAAAAATACGTTTTGGGGTCTCTTAAGTCCAAATAATCAATTCCAGCAAAACGATCTGTGTGTGTGTGTGTGTGTTAGCAGTCTAGCTCCAAAATGAAAAGTCGTAAGAAAGTGAAGTTGCATATTTAAGGTTTTTATAAGACTTCGATATTACAGAAATTTTTTTTTTCAAAATCGGAAAACCGGAAGTGGTACTTTATATAATTGATTTAACGCATTTTTACGATTTTCTGAAAAACGGCTCTAACTATTTTGATTAAGCTCAGTATGTCAGTGTATTATTAAGCAGTTATTAATATAATGCAGATTTTATTCTCATTGATGTTCTTCAACAGGGGTTATATGGTTAATTTTCAATATTAGCTTCCTCTAAAGTACCTCTAATTTTTTTATTTGAAACAATTAACCATTTCACATTGATCTCTGTGATAAAAAATAGACAAATATAAAATATGAAAGAATTTGATAATTAAATAAAGGAGAAATAAGAGATCGCAATGATGAATAGTAATGGAGGAACCAAAGGAACAGGAGAGCGCCGGAGCTCACCCGAAAGAGTAGTAGTTAAACAAATTAAAATACCCACAACGAAATGTAAGTAAATATAGCGTCTATAATTTTTACTTTCACTTTCCCTTTGTCTGAAAATACTTATTTCTGCTAAGAAGAGGGTGCGAAGTGAAAGTTGTGTGATGCACTCACCAGATTTTTTTATTATTTTAATCGAGTATTATTCTTCACTCTTAAAACTCTTCCTAACATACCGACCCTGTTCCTGCACGATAATTCCATCAAATTCTATCCTACCATTAAGAACCTTGGAATAAGCTTTGATCAAACCCTTTCCTGGAAACATCATGTATCCAATATTTTCCGCCGTGCTTTTTCCATTTTAAAATGACCAAATTACTATCGCCACTTATTTCCATTTGAAACACGTAAACTCCTTATTAGTTCCTCAATATTTCCTCACTTCTACTATTGCTGTACGGTATATGGGGACATTTGATAAATCGCCTTGTACAATTCATCTCCGGGATCTCAAGGGTCGCCTCTATTTCCCGTTATTATGATGAGCTGAAATGACTTTATCATTCCTACTGACGTAAGTATTTCTTAGCATCCTTCCTCTTCCAAGTCATCCAATCCCGCTGTCCTTCATACATCTCCGAGCTACTTCAATTCAAGTCATCTGTCCACTCCTGTAAAACCCGTTCCCAGTCTTCAGATTTGTATACAAGATCCCACCGAACCGCTGCTTTCGACAGATCTTTCATTATTATTCGATCCACATCCCTATGGAACTCTATCCCATCCTACATCCGTCGCTCCAATACCTTCCCGACCTTTAAATCCTGCCTGTTCAATCACCTCTTATCCCTTCAGCTCTCATAAAATTGTAAATATGTATATAAATAATTAGTTTGTTTTAAAACCTTTATTTCATGTTTTTTTTTTTTTAATGAAAATTGTAGGTAAATAATATGCTTTTCTTTTATTTATTCATTATATTTTAATTATATTGTAATTATTCTCTGAGGCTCCAAAGCCCACATTTTTATCTCTGTACATTATTCTAAAGGGACTTGTCCCAGAATAAATAAAGCATTATTATTATTTTTTCTCAAATGATTTTTTCATGAGTGATGAAATAATTATTTCATAAAATAATATTTTTAACAAGACCATTTAGATACATTTCAGTCAGCCAAGACAAGCTTAAATGAACAATAAATAGATTATTTCTTGGTTTTATATTTACAATCTGCAAATGTAATCCATCCCACTTCAAAACTAGCTGGTTTGTTTACTGCATTAAACAATACAATTATTTTACAAATGACATTAATATTTGTTTTCCCTTGATTTTATTTATTATTGTTTAAAGCATTAATTAGTCTATAAAAAATATCAGAAAAGTAATTCTGCTTATTCTGATGTACTTAACATAAAAATGAAAAAAATATTGCATTAATTCCTGTTTTGAAGGTAGTTTATATAAGATATACAATAATAATTATAATATATTTCCAGTATTCATGGATTTTAAAATTTATTTCAGAACTGAAGTTATTTTGAAAACAATTTTTGTCCCTTATTTAAAAATAATTTCATTAAACATCCTTTAATTTATTTAATAAATAAATTCAACAAATAATGCCCAGGTTTAGACTTGATGGTTTTTAACAACCTGTAGTCAGAAATCGGTCTACTAAATAAAACCATGATGTTTTAAATATTTTTATTTGCCATCTGTCCCAACCAGCTTGAGTTCTTAATTGAAACAATTGATTTATAAGTTTATTCAAAAGTTTGGAGAATATAAAAAAAAAAAATACTTAGATTAAGGCAGAACAAAATTATCTTTAAGGTCATACCATGACTTAAACCAGCTGTTGGAGGCACTATCCTATCACATGGAGGTGATTTCAGTCTTGAAGCAAGCCCTCCACTATTATGACTATGATAATTAATTAATTCAGGTATGCTTGAGCAACAGTGTTTTTCTGATAAAAAATAGTCTCCTCTACTATTCTGTTTTATATGATAATGTTTTACATGAGGGTGAGGCCTAAAAACAAACAAAGGTTAAATAACTAACTGTTACAAACAAACATACTGTTTGATTCTAATTTGTATTTTATGATTTAATTTTAAAATCATTACTTAATATTAAAATTAAATAAAGCATGAAGCAGAAGGTAGTATGCCACTTGAACATTATTCATCATTAAGAAAACTAATGACGAGCTATATTAAATATCAACTAATATTGGTTTGACAAAACATTAACTCATACGTTTTCATGTATAATGACAATGTATAAAGTCCTTTTGTGGAAGAATTTCGAACAACAAAGCATCCCTCTTTTTCTTCTTCTTTAAGCAAAGATTCCGCTCTCTGGCGGGACATGTCCCCAACATACCACCTATAAAATTAAGTCACAATTAGAAATTCTTACAAAATATTAATATTAAATGAGTCTAACAAAACTAAATATGTACAGCAAATAAAATTATATACACATATATATAATTTTTTATCTGTATAGAGATGATTGAACAACTGCTTGAAAAACAGTAATGTAAATAAACTTGAGAGGAAAGGGTACTACATGATAACCGGAGCGATCTGGGATAAGAGTACTAATGCATAGAAGGAAAAATGAAGTAAAGGACTCCCTACATGATATGAATGGGATTAAGATGGTGGAGCAAGTAGCTTAAACAATCCATTAGGAGGCCTCTTCAACATTGAATGCCACAGTAATTGACAAGATACCACATCGGAGATCAAAAACCTAATAGATATATGAAATACACAAAGGTGCTGCATAAATTAGAACATAGGTACCTAAATTAAAATTTTATAAATGAGTTTTTAAACATTTGAAGAAAATGGACAGAGTTTAAAAAATAAAATAATAAAAATTAAGCAAACTAATAACTTAATTTAGCAAGTGGTAAGTACAAAAATATTTTAAAGAGAGGATTTGACTTAAGTCAAGTTTTCATACATACATGTTGACAGCTAACAAAAACTCTTTTGTCTATGTTATACCATCATTATTTTGGCAAATTCTGCAACAACCCATTTGCATTTGTGTTTCATTGAAACATTTATTTTGTTTTTAAAATTAACAATTTTTATAATATAGCATTAAGGTCCCATGATTTTTTTTGCTGTATTGTAAATAAATAATTTTTGAGTAACAAAAACATATTCAGAGGATTGTTAACTCTATCGCAATTCATTAGTCGAAAACTTATAGTGGTGTCAAAAAGTCTTAGAACTAACACATTTTATATTAAACTGATGAATGCTTTGGTTTAAAAGTATTTTTATAATCTTAATTGTAAACCGATTTAAACTTGGAGACATTGAAGATGCAATATATATTTAAATTAGCATTATTTTCAATTAACAACAAGCCAAGGGACCAATCCGTATAATTGATATTATTTTTCCCTGAATATTTTTACGTTATAATTTCACTACTTTGTTATCTACTTCAGTCTTTATTCTTTATCGTTAACATCAAGAGCCTTTGAAACTGATATTTGTAAAAATTGCTTTAATATTGAAATTCTTTGCTTAACATTCTATAATTCAAAATTTCCATTTTTTAAAAAATTTAATGTTACTTTTATTCCAGAAATAGAAAAATATCACATATATGACCGATTTAAAATTATAGTTTTGTATTAACGAGAACTTTCAATTACAGAAAATAAGAAAAGAAGTTAATGATTCTATCTCTAGAATTCACATCAATTTATTAAATAAAGACACGCAAACTGGAGACTTGAAACGTTCGGCTAGGTCTAAAAGGCATTCCTGCTGCTGAACAACATATAAAACTAATGTTTTGCACAACCATTAAAAATCTAGCAGAGAAAATATTTATAATGTAAAACAAAAATATTTAATTATAAGATATAAGTTGAACATATAAAAATTATCGTTTATATTGTTTTGCAAATTTAATAGTTGCCTCGAAATGTATGCTGGGTATCAAGCTGTCTGTAGGTATAGGGTTAAGGTGGGATATCCTTGTTATGCGGTTTATTATTGAAATGAAAAAGTCTTTGAAATATAAATTAACAACTATTTACTCATAGTTTTGGAGACCCAGGAGATCTTTTTCTTTAACATAGTTGCTGGGTATGTATCCAACAGCTCCATGTCTATCTACAACTTTCCACCAATGTTCCTGAGAATCATCAACAATTTCATACTCAGCCCCCTAGAAGAAAACAATCATACCATGCAATATTAAATTTATAGAAGAACAATATAATTTTAAATGTAACATTAATAGCTGAATCAATCAATCTTTCATAGAGAAAAATGATCACATAGAGAAATAAAATGTTCATTTCTGTTACAATTAAATAAGATTTTTAGAGAGTTTTTAAATGAACTTTAAAAGATTTAATATCAGACAATAAAGACATACAAAACTGATCCAAAATAAAAGCATTACATTTTAGTGTTTATCATATTCAATATTTTTTATAAAGTTACAATGAAAAATAAAATAATTAAAATCACTTAATAAAGTTTATGAAAACATTAAATTTACTATCAAGATAATTTAGTTTAGTCAAATATAATTATTTGACATAGATTAGGCAATTAAAATTTTTTAACTGCAGCTTTCTATATAAAGTAATAATAATAATAAAATGGATGGAGTTTTACACATAAAAAATATAAAACTGATAATAATTGTATACAAAATAAGAGCCTTTAAATTGGGACTTTAATAAATGAACGAATCCTTTAAGCTGTACCAATAAATAGAATAGTTTTTTAGACTTACTTTTTCTAATGATAGATCACCTGCTTCAATAGCCTTAAAAGGATATAGTGCAACAACAACTTTAGGCTTTGGTTGTGTCATTGGTTCCTATTCAACAAAATAAACAACATTGAGTATTAAGAGGTAGGCTATTATCATCCATTCATACACAGTAATTATAGAATACATTTCTATCAGCTAAATAGTATTATCAAATAAAAAACCTTTTCAATTACATTTGTTTTTGAATGAATACAACATGAAAAGAACTGCATCCTGGCAATGGTGAATAAGTTGTTGTTTGATATCTGAATGAATAAAACTAGATTGATCAGTAAGCTTTATGAGTCAGCTTATCAAGAAAGGATCTGTGCTTAATGAGATGAGATAAGATTTTGCAACAATTTTTTATCTTAAAAGTAACATAAACTGACTGATTTAAATAAGAAATGTTAAAAAAACAATGCTCACAGTGAATCAATGGAACTAACATTGGATAGTAAGCCTTTTGCTTAATTTTGTTATTTATTAATTAATTAAATGCTTATTAAATGAATTGATATAATTATTTATGTTTTTGTTCTCAAAAAGAAACTTCTGTTAATACTTCATTTCTTAGACTTAATCAATTTTGAATTATGGGTCTTCAATATTGAGTGATGTGATTTATAATCATAAAAAGAAAATTTTACAATTGTAAAAAGCTTACCATAATAAAAAAAAAATTAAAAAAGATCTCGAGTAATATTCAAGTTAAACCAAAGTAATTAAGATTAGAACAGTTCATAAATATGGTAAAATATGTGTTGCAGGATCAAACAAATCTCTTGTTTGCTCTGGAGCCCAAAAATCGACCTCATCGCAGGTGAAGCTTTGATTGTAAATTACAAAAGTGTGTGTTATTCTGAGTAAAATGAAGCTTGTCTGCCATTTCAGAGCCGCTGGTTTCAAAAATGGGGACTGATTTAAAGAATATTAGGCCAGTAATTTGAGGATCAAAACGAGAAACCCATTGCAAATGTGTGAGAAAAGTTGAAAGTTGAAAAGTTTTTATTTTAAAAAAAACTGTTTACAGCCAAAAAAGTTAGATTTTTTTACAATACTTTTTTATTTGTTCACCTGTAACTCATAAACGATGCAAATGACAAAATATTTGATGCTCTATAACTTAGATTCTATGGGTTTTTCCTCTTAGGAAACTCATTTCCACAGTTACAGGGGCATTTACAGTAATTTTCCTTAGATTTTGACAAATTTGGTAAAAATCAGCGTTGGTTGACTGTAGTTTTATACTATATAACTAAATTATTAAGTTTATGTACTCATTCGACGCACAATTTAACGTTCTTTAATTTATTAAATAATACATTTTTTGCTTTGATACATCGTTTAGAAGTTACAAAAAAATCTGACTTGTTTTGCCTGTAAAAGGTTTTTCCTTGGTGGTCCCCGTTAGCAATATTGTTTTTTAAATGTCTAAACCTGAGAAAGAAACCATTAATTTTCATATAAAAGCTGTCTGCCCAATTATATTGGGTTGCTAGACACACAGCGTACTAGTTAATCCATAGGACAATAAGATTCAAGTTAAAAAATATAAACTTTTGTCACATTTTTCGTAATGGATTTCCCATTTCGATCCTTAAGTTACTGGCATAATATTCTTTAAATCAGCTGGAATAGCAGACAACGTTCTTTTTCCTCTAAATAACATACACTTTCATAATTTACAATCAAATCTTCGCCTGCGATGAGATCGATTTTTGGGCTCTGGTTCCAGGGCTAATAGTATTATTTTCATTATAGATCGAGAAGACAATTCCAATGATAGTAGTTGACTGTCCAATAAGAAGACAGCTACACAGTATAGAACACTAGGGGATCCAGGATTTAGTTTTTGGGGAGGGGGGCTTTATTTTTTTGAAAGTTTATTTTTTTATATAACGATAATTAATTTGAAAAAAAAGAAAGAAATTAATTATCTATATGAAATGGTGTTTAAGTGGTTCTTGAAGTCCTATTAAATGTAATTACACCAACAATAATACTTTAAGAGATAGTATATAGTATTTTTTTCTGTAAAATATGATTACATTTTACCATTTTGGGGGGAGCTTCAGCCCGAAAAGCCCCCACCCCCCTCCCCCCGCCACCTGTAGATCCGCCTGTGGTATAGAATTATACAATCTGCACAAATAAAATATAATTATGTGATGAAAAAGTTGGACTGAGTTTTGCTGAACACCCAGATGAAGGTTTAAGATCTATTAAGTGGATTCAGGTTTTGATTGGTCAGTGAAAAGAAGAATAAAGGAAACAATGTCTTGTTAACATTTCCAACCTTCAAGCTTCTTTTTTTATAAGTAAAGAGTACGAAATTATGTAATGAATAGGTAAAAAATCAGCATTATTTAACATGGAGAGACAGGATTTTGTCTAGAAGAGCTGTAAATAAGTAGCAATGAAACAAAATATTTATATATATTTTATAAGTTTTATTTTAAATAGTATACATAAGAACTTAAATAGATAAGATCGCAAAAACACTTCTTCCCACATGTTCCTCTACCTTGATGTGGAAGAGGATGGGACAAGAGTGAAAAGTTCCTTAATTTTTCTGGTAGAAACCATAAAGTCCATACGATTCTTTTTTTTAATTTTATTTTATTGTACATTAAATTAGTTTCGAATTTCAATGAAACTATAGACATCAATTGCATTAAACGTTATTTAAACATTGTTAAACAATTTTTCTTGGAGCAGGTTAGCTCAATGGTTAGACTGACTTCCAGAGCTCAAGGTCCTATTTTCGAATCCGGCTGACTAGTAATTTTTCATTAGCCGTGGATCAACCCTGGGGTCGGGAGACCCTCCTGGGGCACACCCAGCCTATATAAAGTGGGTACCCTTAATTAAAAAAAAAATTATTTAATGGGAAAAACCTAGTGGTTGAGAGTGATATCGGCCCCATCACCTCCCTGCATAACCGTTGGCCTTTTACAGTACTACCTCACATAGTACTGTACCCAAGACCCTTTATGGGTTGTAGTGGTACAGGTTTTTTAAATAAGTTTTAACACAATGCTAATGGTACCACTACAATGTAAATATAAATCTATTGTTCTCCAAGACCTGCAGAGTCATGTTAAATCCCATAGGAACTCAAAAACTGTTTCTGCTCCTTTTGGAGAAGTTTCAAGATTACAAAATCATGTATACTGTCGCATCTAAATGTGACGACTCACCTGTATGATGTGTGGTGATATCAGAAAATGAACAGTTCCATTTTAGAATGTCTGGAATGTGTTCCATTTTCATGGGAAAAGTGACCGAAGCTGTTCTATATTGCCAAGGGCTGACTACCGGAAGATGGCTATCGTAACTGATTCGAAGGGTGTCCTACTGGCATTTAACAAACAGAGACCAAAATACTCAGCAATAGCTGAAATTTTAAAAATTGCATGGCAAATTGAATAGAAAGGCTGTGATTTAGCTTTCATTCGGGACCCATTCCATTATGGGATTAAAGGGAACGAAAAAGCAGATATCGCTTCTCAGACAGCCCGAATCGGCAAAAGCAGTAAAATAAAAATCCCAAATAGTGTCCCTCGGGAAGATTGAGTAAGGATGTTCAAATCCTTGCAGGCGACCCAGTGGAACAGACCTGGAGAATCTGCCCATCAAAACTACTCCAGATAAAATAAAATAGCTTAAAATGGAGTATTAGCAGAAGAGGATCTAGGCAGGAGGAAATAATATTGTGCGGTCTCAGGATCGGCCAAGATGAATTATCTCATGGATATCTTCTCCGCGATCTGGAAGCCCCAACTTGTCGAGTATAGTGATCCTAGAACAGTCACACACTTACTGGTTGAGTGGCAACAGTATACACCAATTAGAAAAAAAACTGAAGTATAGTTATAATATACAAGAAATCCTAGAAGACTCGGAAACCGGTGCGAAATCTCTTACGGAATTTTTAAGGAAATCAAATTGTACCATCTACTGTAGAAACATAAGAAATGCCAATGACCCTTCCTGGTAGAGGCAATACCACAATAAAAAAAATTACAATCATACATTTCACATAAAATATTAAAAATAAAAGTTAAATTAAAATCCATACCAATCTGCTTAGCTTAAATAGCAATTCTTTAAGATGTTGTAGGAAACCATAGCAAAGATTTAAATAAAACAATATGCTTCTTTAGCTTTGTTTTCATGGGTTCAAAAGGTGTCTGAGTGTATATATTTGGTAAAATCCATCTGAAAAAAATAAACATAAAATGAAATTTTGACTTGATGCAAAAGTTTATTTTTTTTTGAAGCAATAATTCTTTGGTAGATAAAAATCTGTCATACACATACTTATAAAGTACAAAACAAAATATTATTATGAATTTTTAATATTTTGTAGCTTAAATAAATTTCCATATTCAAATACTTTATAAAAATTATGGTACACAAATAAAGAAAACAAATATTAAATTTAATCATATTAAAAATAAAAGAAAATATATAAATTAAAAAAAATCTCTACCCAAAAATCACATTTTGATGAAACCAATAAAAAAAATTTAGTTTTAAGTTTTGCAGCAAGTAAATTTACTGCAGGCTGCAAATCAGGCCCATGCTTTTATTTTTTGCTTAAGTCGAAGTTATTGCAATATTTTGTAAGTTTTTGCCTTAAATGTAAACAAATAATAGGTTATTTATATTTTAATACAATGCAGTGTTTACATCAATGTCATAACACACCTTTCTTCACGCCTTCTGTTAATTAAAAGATGGATAAACGTTTGGACTATCACTTAAAATACTTCAAAACAGGAAAATACGAAACATTTCATGAAATTACTCACGCACTTTCCAATATATCAAACTTTGCATACCTGCTTAATAACTGGGTATCTATTCGAAACGAAAATTTAAAATAATTTTTAGTTAATTACTCCACTGGACAGCTTGGCGTTCAATTCTGATTAAACTGAGTATAAGTAATATTATGAGTTGTTTGTCACAACCTTATCTGCACGAATGAGGAGTACACCAACAAACTAGATAACATGAAACAGGACGAAGACCTGACCGCCTTTGGAAGAAAATCAATAATGGCCAGTATCAGCTGTTGGCGCGGTTGATTCTATTAGTCAAAAAAGGCGATTCCAATTGACACCATTAAAATGGAATCATGTCTTATTATTAAGTGACGCAAACTTCAACTAAAAATATGTTCAAAACTCAATACATTAGTAACAGCATCATTATGAGCGACATTAAAGATATTTTTACGAGATGTAAAGCATTAATTCTATTATTATAGAATAATTGTACGATCGGGTGATGATTTAGCAATTGTAAATAACCGTAAATCGTGATGACTCATTTGTGCGAAATTAGGAATTGCAGCAATAATACATAATCATTTCAAACAACAACCAATAAAAGGTTTTGGATAAATCATTTCGCTAACAAAATTATTCACGAATAATAACTTTAAATGACATAGCAAACAATTATATAATTAGGTTGGTTATCTTCATTGAGAATGATGGACTTTGTATTATCCTTAAATATAACTCAGTCTCAATTCACAAATGGCATAATCGGTCTTTTGCCAAAACGCCTGTATTTAGGAGGAAGCGGAACAATTTATAAAATAGATAGTAAAAAAAATGAGAGATTTCTTTTTTTTTTAACGGACAACATAACAAAAAATTATGTTGCCACAATAAAAAGATATACGATGGTGTGCCTACCGTGTGACGGTTTCTCCATAAGAAAATACGAATGTTCATTTAATTGTTTTTAATATTTCTAAAGAATTCCACTATTTTCTTTGGAATGATTCATTCTTTCCACTATTTAAGAATTTATAAAAAAAAAAAAAAAAAAACCTCGACCACACATAATTTGATCGACGATATCCGGTGACGGAGATAAAGTTTTATAGATCTTAAAATTTAATTTCTAGATCTCAAAAAGATGTTAAATCAGTCATTAAAAATAAAAGCATCATCAAATTAAAATTATATTTAAATAGTACAAACACTGCGAAACACACACACACACAAAACAATGCTAATCATGAAAAGCATAAATAAACATCGTAGAATTGAGAAAAATAATTATTACTTATACAGTTTATTGAACTAACTCTTGTTAATTATTTTTAATTAAATGGCTGATATATTGGGACTCCTAAGACACTCTGACCCCTTTCATAAAATATTGGGGGAGGTAGGGGAGGGAGGAAGGGCTCAGAAAGTACCTTGCCTCACCCAGTTCCTGCGCCTTATTATGCCCATGGTCAATGTTTTGAGTAAATCTGAATTTAAGAATTAAATATAATTTTTAGGCTAATAAATAGTTGGAATCGATAAACAACATGAGTATAATTTATACTAATTATTTTACACCCGTATTTGATAAAATATGGTATAGAAAAGGGACCACGAATTGAAAAATATCATACAGTTAACGAAACACAAAATAATGGCAACAATTTAGCGGTTCTAAAGGTGGTTCACTATAATAAATAATTGATATAGGCTCAATAAATGGCGAAAAATGGCATTAAAATGAAAAAAAAAAAATAGTAAGGGACTATACAACAATTAAAACTACCTGCATGTATATGTCTTTTGTGAATTGAAAGATACTGCCAAAACTTTTACTATAACCAAAATTTTCAGAAATACAAATGTTATAAAACTTAACAAAACCAGAACATAAATGATTTTGTAATTCTAAAAGTGCAAAAGGCGCTAAAATATGGTAAAATTCGTAAAGGTACTATTATATATTTGTATTAAAAGGACTTTAAGAATAATCTAAAATAAAATTACTGTTTTATCACAAACATAACAATACTTGTTATAGTCTGGATGTATTGGAAATATCTTTTCTTCTTCAAAAATCCATGTCATTAACTAAGATTTTTATGAGAAACTATCGACAATTTTCAAACTGAAAATGAGCAATTAGCACTCTTCAACACAAAAACATTCACCACTCTTACATACACGGCAAAAAGCCTGACTGACGTAGGGAGATTATCTGGCAGTGGGATAAAGGTTTCTTCTTTAAGGGTTAAGATCTTTCTATGAATCAAACAATGGGTTACTTCACACAAAACGAGGTTTGTTTTCTTGGAGATTACTAACAAATATTTCCTAATCAAACGAAGATTTTGACCATGTTATTAAAAATTTGAATTCAATTGATTTAATTAGTCGGTGAAAATCAGTTGATAGCTTTGTTTTCCCTTAGAAACATGCAGAAAGGAGAAACCCATAATCTGAGCCCTAATTAAATACCGTCGTATAGAACGCGCGATTTATTGCAACGAGCCAAACAGATCGCATATCGCTGCGACAGAGAGGGTTCTGCCTGCCTGTGCATTTTGGTCATAGTAAAGTTATATATTTAAATGAAGATTATTTCTGTACAAAAGACTTTTTAAAGTAAACAAATAAAAAAAACATTAAGTATATTCTGCAATAAATTTTTTTTCTTATTGATGAAGTAAAATAATACATTAGCGGATAATGAAAAAAAAAAAAATGGTGCGGTGAACGCATCACACAACTTTCAATTACCACTTAACTTTGAGTAGAAAGAAATTAATATACTTTCTTAACTTTTTTTTTTGTAATAGACGAACATTAGGTACTTTAATTATAAATATTAACCAACAACAATAAATAGAATTATTTTAATTACGATTTCGTTCATTCTCAAAAGTGGCATAATTTTTAAACTAGCATTTTATAATAAAGTCCGTAAATTTATAAAATCAGTATTTTGATTTGTAATGACAACTTGTAATTCAGAACAATGGATTTTTTTAAAAGGAAAAACCGGGAATTGTTTTCGAGAGAAATATTATCTTTGATTTGGCGAAAAAGTTGCTGTAACATTCCAGACATATGCCTACTATACTCAACTATGTGACTTCAGTTTTGTACAAGTTTTCGTATTTGAGCAAGGCTGTTCACATACGTACACCCACACACAGACTATTTTGCGAATAAACGTATATTCCAGTTAAATACTCGGAATAGACATTTTTAATAATTGCAATATTTTACCGTACTAAACATATCATATACAGATGATGGAAAGCAAGGCATATAAGTTTGCTTAGACTTGCTCCCTAATATTCTAATAAGTTTGCTCCCTTAATATTCTAGAAATAAATTAAAAACTTGTTTAAGAATATGAAAACCATTGCTCATTTTTGGTATTTTATGCAAACAGAGGTGCATTTTATACCAGATAATCGATGACAACTTTTTCAAGCACAACTTTTTTCCTCACAAGCACCAGTGCATATTTAAAAAATCTGGTGCGGGGCGCGCATCACACAACTTTCACTTACCACCCACTTCTTAGCAGAAATAAGTATTTTCAGACAAAGGGGAAGTGAAAGTAAAAATTATAAACGCTGTATTGATTTATATTTCATTGTGGGTATTTGCATTAGTATAAATACCCTTATATATACAAACTTTAGTATTTATATAGCTGTAATCTATACGATTCAATATTAAATAATTCCAACAATAGCATTTATGTAAACCGCATACGTATATTTACATAATATTGTCGGAGTCCTTATTATATTAAGCTCATGTTATCTATGGAAGGGTGTTCTAATCCTTCGGGCAAGTTCGGGAGGGTGTGCGTAACGATCTCTTATTTCTCTTTTAGTTAATAATCAAATTATTTCATATTTTATATTGAACTATCTTTTATATTAGAGATGAATGTGAAATGGCCAATTGTTTTAAATAAAAAAAAATTAAAGGTACTTTAGGGGAAGCCAATATTGAAAATTAGCCATTTAAGACCTGTTAGAGAACATCAATCAGAATAAAACCTACATTTTATTTAAACCTGCTTAATGTTACACAGATATAATGTATTTAATGAAAATCGTTAAAGCCGTTATCGAGAAAATCGTAAAAATGTATTTAGTCCAAGATATAAAATGATATCTTAGCCGATTTTGACGAAAAAGTTTCTGTAACATCCCAAGCTTATAAAAATCTTAAATATGCAATTTAATTTTTGTACGACTTTTCGTTTTTGAGCTAATGTTAACACACACACACACATACATGCGCACGCACCCACAGACCATTTTGCGGGACTTGGTTATTTCGACTCACGGGACCTCAACGCATGTATTTCCATTGAAAACTGAGATTCGAATTTCGATTTTCGCGATCGCAATATTTTCCCTTACTATATATTTCATA